TTCAAGGTGTGGTCTTACCAGCGATTTATAAAGAGGCAAATTATATTTTCATCCCGAGAATTTATGCCCCTATTTATACATGACAAAACCTTACTGGCCTTAGCAACTGCTGATTGACATTACATATTGCTGCTTAATTTGTTGTCTATAACAATTCCCAAATACTTCTCGTGTGTGGTTATCCCTAATTCACTACCATTTAGTGTGTAAGTTGCTTGTGCAATTTAACCCCGAAGTGCATAACTTTGAATTTCTCTACGTTTAGTTACATCTGCCATTTTAGTGCCCAGTCCCCCATCCAAATCCCTCTGCAGCAAAGCAATATCCTGCTCACATTTTATTACTTTACAAAGTTTTGTGTCATCTGCAAGCACTGATACATGGCTTTCAATGCCAATTTCAAGATCATTTATAAATATGTTAATAGAAGTGGTCCCAAAACACTGAGGGACACCACTTACCACTTTTGTCCAGCCTGAAAATTTACCATTAATGATAACTCGTTGTACACTATCCTTAAGCCAATGTTCTACCCAAGAACAAGAATATTCATCTAGACCAATTTCTTTTAGTTCCCTCCTCGAAGACAACCTTGTGCGTTGTGTTGGCCACCTATGATGAATTCTCATGGCCTCAGGAAGCTGTAAAAGGCCAGGTAAATAGTGGTTTTAATAACAGAATTAGTGAGGGAATCGAAAGAGGCTGAATCTAGCAAATCAGACATATTTTTGATACCCTTAAGTATAGTTTGATTGGATAGGATAAAAGAAAACTGGTGTTGTTGGAAAGTAGAGAAACATGTGATGTTGGATGCCAGTCAGAAGTAACTTGATGGTATAGTGAGATAGCCTAAACTGAAGGTGGCAAAAAAAAAAGTAGTGAACACAACCAGAGACATAATAACGAACATTATGTAATGAAGGGCCACTTACCTGTGACGTGAATAGTAATGGAGAGACTTAGTGACGGCAATTGCTGGGAGACCACTAAGGGCACAACTTGAAATACCTTGGAACCTGGAGGAGTAACACCGTGTATATTGAAATAGCGGAATCTGCCAGACACGGGAGCCCTACGAAGGCTAAGGAAATTGTTGTAAACATGTAAGTGACAACCGATATGTACCTTGCAAACAATTGAGGGGTAACACGAGCGACTTAGACTAAAGCAGGTGGAATGAATATGAAAATACCAGCATATGACATCAACCATAAATTAATAGTATTGAGGCATATAGCAAAATATATATATATATAAAACCAAATTATATAGAGGAAATAATAGAGTAGAAAGGGTTAAGAACCGGAAAAGTATCAATACTGAAGAAAACCAAAAGAATATGAAAATGAACGAAAAGTATCTACAAGGACCATAACGGTGGACAAATCAAGACATACAATAGAAGTCAATATGTTCCAGTAAGGGGCCTAATACTGGAAACTGAAGAAGGCATCGCTGTGAAGCTACGTATTAATGAAATGCTGAATATTATAGTAGTAAAATTTGCCCTGAAAGAATACAGTTAGTAGAAACCAATTAAATCAGCAGTGGCAGGCCCGCCATGGCGACTTCTATAAGAACGAGGTAGGGCTGGCTCAACTTAAAGATGACATGTTTTAGTATAATAATGATGTTGTCACAATATGTCTGATAGGTGTGATATTGCAACTAATCTATATCCTAATTCACCTATTAGTGTAAAAACTTTCAGACAGAAAGTCGGATAGCATGACAGAAAGTCAATATCCCATTGGACACCTGGATGTACAGGCACACTCAATATTGAATTGTGTTATGATTGTATGCGTACGGAGGACCCTGCGAGGCTCAGCGTTCTGTTGACGGCATGTTTTGACAATGTATTTCTAGTCTTTCCAGTCTCTAATTTATTTACCACTTAGAGGACACGAGTGCTGAGAAGGTTGCGTGGAGGTTGGTGTTGCTCGAGCAACTCGTGTCCAGCATCAACATTGTCCGTATTTGTACGCATGAGTCTGAACAGTTGTGCTTTCCCGGCCGTTGCTGGGAAAGGAACGTTGCGTCTGCGTAGCTCTGCCGGAATACAAGGAATGGTCCATGACCTGATAGAACCTGATAGGTGTCACCTTTTTGTCACCGCAAACAGTTTGCTGAAGACAAACAGACTAAGGACACAAATTACTGGAACCATGTCCTGTGGTCCGATGAGACCAAGATAAACCTATCTGGTTCAGATGGTGTCAAGCGTGTGTGGCGACAAAAAGGTGAGGAGTACAAAGACAGGTGTGTCTTGCCTACAGTCAAGCATAGGTGTGGGAGTGTCACGGTCTGGGCCTGCATGAGTGCGGCTGGCACTGGGGAGCTACAGTTCATTGAGGTAACCATGAATGCCAACATGTACTGTGACATACTGAAGCAGAGCATGACCCCCTGGGAGACTGGGCTGCAAGGCAGTATTCCTACATGATAACGACCCCAAACACACCTCCAAGACGACCACTGCCTTGCTAAAGAAGCTGAAGGTAAAGGTGAGGGACTGGCTAAGCATGTCTCCAGTCCTAAACCCTATTGAGCATCTGTGGGGCATCCTCAAATGGAAGGTGGGGGAGCGCAAGGTCTCTAACATCCACAAGCTTCGTGATGTCGTCATGCAGGAGGGGAAGAGGACTCCAGTGGCAACCTGTTCAGTGCTGGTAAACTCCATGCCAATGAGGGATAAGGCAGTGCTGGAAAATAATGGTGGCCACACAAAATAGTAACACTTTGGGCCCAATTTGGACATTTCCACTTAGGGGTGTACTCACTTTTGTTGTCAACGGTTTAGACATGAATGGCTGTGTGTTGAGTTATTTTGAGGGGACAGCAAATTTACACAGTTATACAGGCTGTACACTTACTATTTTACATTGTAGCAGAATGTCATTTCTTCAGTGTTGTCACATGAAAAGATATAAAATATTTATAAAAATGTGTACTCACTTTTGTAAGATATTGTATGTACATGATGATATCTTCATAATTTGGACTGAAAGCAAAGAAAAACTGATACAGTTCCATGACTCTTTCAACACATTCCATCCATCAATCAAACTAAAAATGGAATATTCCACTAGATCTGTGAATTTTCTGGACACAACTGTGACATGTAATAATGGCACAATCCACACCTCGGTTTACAGAAAACCCACAGACAGGTGCAGTTACCTACACAGCTCCAGCTTCCACCCCTCTCATACTAAACAGGGCATCATTTACAGCCAAGCCACTAGGTACCATCGCATATGCTCTGATCCTAATGACTGTAATTCCCATCTAAATGTACTCTCCCAATCTATGAGACAGAAAGGCTACAAACCAAAGACTATTACCAAACAAATCAACTCTGCTGTAAAAACGCCACGTATGCGCCTGCTACAATACAGAGAGAAAAAAATATGCACACGAGTGCCACTTGTGGTCACCTACAACCCTGCTCTTGAGGAAATACGGAAAATCATCAAAGACCTACAACCAATATTAACAGAAGATGAGACTCTGAAAAACATTTTCCCTGAAACACCCATTTTGGCCTTCAGACAACCACCAAACCTCCAACAAAAATTAATCAACAGGAGGCTGCCCACTGATGGTAAGAACGAAGAAAACGGGACCAGTCAATGCAAAAAACCTCGCTGCAAACTGTGTCAGCACATATGCACAGACAACACAGCCACACACAACAATAAAACCTACAGCATTAAAGGTTCATACTCCTGCACATCCAGCAATGTGGTATACATGATTAAATGCATAAAATGCCACCTAGGATGCTACATTGGGGAAACCACCCAGCCATTAAATGGCAGAATGAATATGCACAGACACTCTATTAAACACCACAAAGAAGAATCATACTGCACTCCTGTGGGACACCACTTTACCCAGCCTGGCCACTCACTGAAGGACCTAAAAATCAAAGTACTGAAAGGGGGTTTTAAAAATACCCAGGAAAGAAAAGCCTTTGAAGCCAGAATGATTAAATGGTTTAACAGCAAGAAGAGAGGACTAAATATTGATTTGGGATTCCTGTCCCACTACCAACACTTTACATGAACACTCTCCCAGCATTATCTTACTGTTCTGTCATATGTACCAACACTTTAAAATGCATTCCTATATGTTTATTCTATCTATATACAAAGTACTATGTGTAGACCTATGCTTTCCCATACTCGTATGCATGAATGCTTATATATATTACTGTGCATTTATATTTGTGTATATGAGTCCATGTGCATGTATGTATATGTGTTTATGTATATATACATATGTTTATGCGTTCACATATACATATTTCTGTGTGTGTGCATGTATAAAGTGTATCATCCTGTGCACTGTCTGCTTGTTTGTTTTTCTTTTCCCTCTCTCCCCCCTACTCTTCTCTTCAACAAGATATTTATGACCCTCTGCTAAGATGGTGTCTATTTTCTAACAAACCTGTGTCTTATCTACACTCATGTCGCTTTAACCCCTGTATCACAACTCAACTTTGAATTCTATGTGTCGTTTTGCTCAGAAATGCTTCAGACTTGAGAAAGGGAGGTTCTCCCGAAAGCTTGTCATTAAAAAATTCTGTTAGTCCAATAAAAAAGGTATTACAAGATAAGAATTTTATCTGTTTTTTACATCTACATCACTGGACTAATACGGCTACAATCTCTACTTGAACACTATATATATTCATACAGATATAGTAATATAATGCACATATTGATATGTAGATAGATAGATAGCTAGATAGATAGACGTCAACAACATTAAAACTACTGACAGGTGAAGTGAATAACATTGATTATAGCGTCACAATGACACTTGTGAAGAGTTGAGATATATTAGGCAGCAAGTGAACAGTTAGTTCTTGAATTTCATGTGTTGGGAGTTGGAAAAAAGCAAAAAGATCTGAGTGATTTTAACAAGGGTCAAATAGTGATGGCTAGACGACTGGGTCAGATCATCTCCAAAATGGCAAGTTAGGACCTAACAAAAGTGGTGCAAGACAGGAAAACTGGTGAACTGGCATCAGGGTCATAAGCGCCCAAGGTTCACTGACTCACACAGATGAGCTATTGTAGCTCAACTTGCTGAAAACTTAAATGGACACTATAGTCACCAGAACAACTACAGCTTATTGCATTTGTTCTGGTGAGTCAAATCATTCTCTTCAGGAGGGGCAGTGAGTGACAGTGGGTAGAAGGGGGGAGGAGGGGCAGTGAGTGACAGGGGTAGAGGGGGGTTTAAAAATACTTGCCCTGGTGGTCCAGTGGGCGCCCTCTCTCTTCAGTTTGCAGCTCTGCCGGGAGTGAGCTGCAGACCACATGGTGAGTCTTGCGATCTCCAGGCAGAGCGTTGCTGCGGCAACGCTCTGACAGGCTGGAGATCGCGAGACACCTCAGTCTGCAGCTCACTCCCGGCGGAGCTGCATACTGAGGCTGGATCTTGTGCACAGCAGACAGACAGGAGGGGCCTCACACAATGCCGACTGGATCAATGCCGCTCGGCCCCCTCCTGTGTCAGGTCCTCGGTCATGGACCGAGGACCTGACATGTTAGTCTGCCCTAAGCATAGACAGTGCAGCACGGAGGTGTGATTAGGGTGTGCCCACAACCCGTGCGCACACCTATGCATGACCCTATAGTGCTCCTTTAATGCTGGCCATGATAGAAAGGTGCAGTTTGCTGCATAGCCGCAGAATTGTCAGAGTGCCCCTGATCACCCCTGTCCATCAAGGGCTTCAGTAGGGACATGAGCATCAGAACTGGACCATAGAGCAATGGAAGAATGTTGCTTGGTCTGATGAATCATGTTTTCTAAAATTAGGTGGATGGCCAAGTGCATGTGTGTTGTTTACCTGGGGAAGAGATGTCAGCAGTATGCACTGGAAAGAAGTGTTATGCTCTGGACAATGTTCTGCTGAGAAACCTTGGGTTCTTGCATTCATATTTATGTTACTTTGATATATACCACCTATCTTGAGATTGTTGCAGACCAAGTAATGGTCTTCATGGCAATGGTGTTCCCTGATGGCAGTGGCCTCTTTCAACGGGATAATGCACCCTGCCACGCAGCAAAAATTGTCCAGGAACAGTTTGAGGAATATGACAAAGAGTTCAAGGTGATGCCTCGGCCTCCAAATTCCTCAGATCTTGATCCGATTGAGCATCTGTGGGATATGCTGGAACAACAAATCCAATCCATGGAGGGCCCACTTAGCAACTTGCAGGACTTGAAGGATCTGCTGCAAAATTTGTCATGGTGGGAAAGCAGGAAGGAGTCCCTATTTCCCCATCACAGCTGGCCCTGAGGCACCCCCTCACTGTGACACAAGTCAACATTTATCCCCCTCTGCCCTTGCCTTCTCTTCACCTCTGCTGTGATGTAGTAGGAAAGCACACCACTTACTTTCCTAAGTGGTCCAGTGAAGAGTGAGAAGGTCTCCTGTTGGTCCAGTGGAGTGTGAGCAGGATTCCTGGTGGTCCAGTGGATAGCTCCAACATCTGCATCAATATCAGGTACAGACCATATGCAGCCTACCGCGGTTGCGCTCTTTAAGATGCTGTAACAAAATCTGGAACAACTCTGCTTTGGTGAAGTGACTGGGGATAGGGCCGTCCAGGGAGATCTCCCTGCTGGTTTGAAGATGGCCCACCGGGACCCTATCTGAGCCCTGGTCCTAGGTGGCCGCCTAACAAATAATCCGGCTATGACTGCGAATACTGCGTTTACAGATTTATTTCATAAAGTCTGAATTGTCATGAATTCAGTAAATTTTAATGAGAATTTAAAATTTCACACCACAATAATACAAATAGAAAAAAAGTCTGAATTGTTCTCTGTTTGAATATTTGGGGCTTAAAATTTTTAATTCACTTTAAATATCTGACATTTTATACCTTAGTATCTCTATTCAAGTAATCTTTGCAGAAAATTATGGGAATTGTAGAAAATAGGGGTGCAATTTGACACAATTTGTTTAATTAAACTGCAAAGTCAGTATGAACATGCTTTTTACTGTAATATGAAAGCACTCAAACTTTTATTTCTTCCACATAAATAAGTAAAACGATTAAAAAAAAAATACAATTAAATTATAAAACCAGTAAATTTTCTTATACAAAGAATCACAGCTGTTTTAGTGTTCTTGGATAAATGCAGGGGGAGGCAACCTTCATCACTCCAGATGTTATGGACTACATTTCCCATAATGCTCTTATACCCATAATGCTGAGAAAGCATCAGGGGAGATGTAGTCCGCAACATCTGGAGCAAAGCTTGCCTACCCCTGGTGCATAACACTGATAATATGTTCTAACTGATTCTCATATCACTTACAGTAATTTTTACATTTCTGATGTCAGCGTGTTATTTTTAAACACTTAAAGGGACTATATAGGCACCAAAACAACATTAGCTTAATGTTAGGGTTTTGGTATATAGATCTTGTCCCTGCAGTCTCACTCCTCAATTATCTGCCATGTATGAGTTAAATGACTTTGTTTACACAGCTCTAGTCACACCTCCCTGCATGTGACTTGCACAGCCTTGCCAAATACTTCCTGCAAAGAGACATCTCATATCATTGTCCTTCATTGCAAATTCTGTTTAATTTAGAATTTCTTATCTCTAACTCTGTTGATAGCCTGCTAGACCCCGCAGGAGCCTCCTGTGTAATTAACGTTCAATTTACAAATCAGGAGATACAAACTTTGAAAGCAAGTTAACATCTGGTTAAAATTTTAAAATAAAATTGTCAGTCTTTTATGTCATTCACAGCCAGGGGAGGTGTGCCCAGGGCTACATAAACACAGATAAAATTGATTTAACTCCTAAATGGCAGAGAATTGAGCAGTGAGACTGCATGGGGCATGATCTATACACCAAAACTTCTTCATTAACCTAAAGTTGTTTTGATGCCTATAGTGTCCCTTAAGATAAATACTCTTAATATTAAAATCCTGTGAACTTATAGTTCCCTTGTAAGAAATCCCTAAGCCCCCACTTTGTTAGGGAAGCGCATCAACTACCAAGTTCATTTCTATCTCTTTTGCAGTACACTCCCTTGTATCATTTGCCCACTGACTACATTAAGTCTGTTCAACGTTCTCACCTTTCTATGTCACGTACTGTTTAATATGCTGTACATTAATACGCCTAGCAATCAATCTTTTCCCTGGATGCATTGCACATTTACCTTACCATTTCATGGAATTACATCTCACTTCCTTTAAACTCAAACTAGTTTCAGCAGGGCCCTTGTCACATCTTCGTAAGTCAAACTTCCATTGCTGAAGTTACTGATGTTTATCCATTGTACAGCACTGCAGACTATGTTGGTGCCTTCTAATTAATAATAAAAATAATAATAATTGGAATATGTAGTCAAGCAAAGAATTGGCTGCAAATCTTGTGTGATGTGTAAAATTTAGCTAACCCAATGCTTACTTGTATTATTCTAAATTTGGCTGGACATATTATCCTTAAACCTTACATACCTGCTTGGCTTCACTCCTCCGTACTGGCAAAGTATGTATCAAATGAAAGGTAAAACACAGCTCTTATGTCAAAAAGATATGTGCTTGTTGCTTCCCTTCTCACTCCCTACCTGCTGTCAGCCCTCCAGGCTGTTTTGCCCATATCTGCCTGCACATTTATCTTTTTGGCTTTTTTAACTTTTTTTTTTATTTTGTGCTCAAGGCGAGTTAATTGTAAAAAAAATCCTGTGCTAGCACAATATGTGAATCCAAGATCATTTACTTGCCTTTTGACGGTGCATGTCACACCCAGTAAGCTATCCCCCTTTTCCCAGCCTCTCTTGATCTTGAAATTAAAAAAAAAAATATCAGTGGGGGTGTGATTGTGGGGCAGTGAATAGAAACAAATAATTTGGCAGGAGTACATGAATTGTTTAACCAACCTTCTTTCACACACACACACACACACACACACACCCACTCCACGTTTATCACACGCCTCCAATCATTTAAGGTAAAAATTTGTACTGGAAAACACGCACAAGTGAATGGATCATCTCATACCCGAGGCATGGAGATAGGTCTCAGCTGTCACCGGGTCTATCCACAGAAGAACGTACATCAGTCTACCATCCAGCCAAGTCCTGAATCTTGATTAAGCCGTGCATTGTTTGGTGAGCACTGGGGGGGGGGGGCAAAGACTACCTGTGTACGTTTGTTATAAAGGATGGAGGTGGCACGGCAAACGAAGGTGCTATTCCTGTGGCAAAGGGCTAAGTAATGAGCAATTGCCATGGAAACCAATGAGTTATCTTTCGAAATGTAGCACGTTTTCCCAGAATAGCACCTGTGTTACCTTGAGAAGTCTCCACCATTAAGTCCTATTCATACCTCCAGTAATAATCAGTCAGCTTCCTTTCTTCCAGGGGAGACAGGCAGTTGGTATAACTGCAGGGCAGGGGGTGGTGGGGGGGGGGGACAGGAGCCCCTTTGAGGTTTCAAGACATTCAAGGACGTGAAGGAAGCTGTAGGACAAATCGGTTGCATTGTTTGGTACTGTGCATCTGCAAGAAGCACAAACAGCTCAGCTGAATGTCTTGTCTATCTCTATCTCTGTCTGCCCACCTTCCTGCTCTTCCCACCTCCTTAACAAATTGAATTCTGATTTTTGCAGGTAGAATGAGTACAGCTATTTGCACCCAGAGAGCGTCTCGCACAGACTGACAACTTGGAGACAAGCACAGCTGGGGAACAGCATGAGGCTTAAACTGAATGTGTTGGACCTATGCCATACGGTGCTTTGCGTTGGGTTAATGCTTTGTGGGGAAGGGTAAGATTCTGCCACCTCGTTTTATGCAAAATATTGCTGCTGTGATATAAGGAACGTTTTGTGATAACATTAAAATAAAAAGGGGGAGGCTGATAGGGGAGCTTAAAATGAATAGTATTATTTTATTATTTTCATTAATGGTATTTTATATTATTAATATTATTATTATTGCTTTACAGATATTTAGAAAGCAATTTGTTTCAATGCTATAAAATATAAGAAGCTGTATCTGTAAAGTTATCTGTGATCTGGGATTTAGCAGTAATTAGCACAGATATTTGTAAGTGCTTGGGTATGATACTAAAGACCACGTTACCAGTATACCCGTATGGAATTATATTGATCCTGGTTATGGTGTATGCAATAATAAAAAGCTGATTATCATTTAACAGCTGCACGGATGTACTGAGCGTCTGATGGTTAATAAACAAGATATAACATGCTGGCATAAGATCCTAAGGACTAGATCGTAAAGTCAACAAAAAACGGTGTTGGCTCTTAAAGGGTTGATCCTAAAATTGCAATTGTGACGACTTGAGGATCAGAGCGTGTTTGCTTGGGCAAAGCATGGGGAATCGGATAAACCACTAATATTAAAAAAATAAAAAGAAAGTTCTTAAATGACTAGTTCATATGATTTACTTATCTTCATCGGGCATTGAATATAACCGTAGAACTAAATCTTGGGTTTGTGCTGCTTAACAATGTGAATGCTGGACTTGTTGCTCTACACTTTGGCGCTTCAAGGGTTATTTCGCTTTTGATTTCGATGAGATGGGAAGGGAGGGAGGACACATAAGGATCTCTTTCTCGGCTTAAAGCTGTGATTGTTTGTGCTTCTGTATGACTCTAGACGCTGCTGCCAGGGTGTGCCAGTGTCTGTGATTGGCAGTGCCCACAAAGAACACTGTCACTCCAGGTGATGTTACTGTGACAAAATGCCACCTGTTACTTAACACCTCATACCCCCCTCCTTGCCAGCAGACAAACAAACACACCTGTTTCTTAAGCAACAGAGAAACAGCCCAACTCCCTGAAGCTGTAACCTGTACTTTCATATTTTTCATTCCTCCTGGGCTCGAGTGTGTACGCTGCACAGAGCAGATTGTTCTTAAAGAATGCAATAGTCTGGCAGCTGCAGTGATCTCCTCCTGGCACTACTGGTCACCCCCCCACCACCACCACCCTGCCCGTTATCCCCCCCCCCCCTAGCTGTATCCTTTATCTAACGTGAGGAAGTCCTCCGATCAATGCCACAGTGTGTCTCACAGATACTATGTAATCAGCGCTGCATTCACACAGTAATTTCTCCATAGCCGCAAATATTAACCCAAGCTGTAAAGCAGCGTTACTGCCCCCTGAGTGGCGTAGCTTGAATGGGGAGGGGTGGGAAGGGGGGCACAGAAGCTGTTGTCCTGGGGGGAAAAATTACAAAATAAAATAAAGTAGTAATAATAAATCAAAATTAGCGCGCCCTCCTACCCCTCACAGGAGAAAATCTTCCAATGTTCAAACATTCTACATAGTTTTTCAACATGTCGGGGCAAATAAACCTAGCCACGTAACGTTTCATTGCTAATTACAGCCATACTGTCCTTATTTAATCCTTATCGGTGTATTACATAATGCCTTTTAATAGCGTGATTTGAAAATATCGCGGGTATCTTCAAACCTGAAATCACGCTATTAATAATCATTAGGTGATTCTCTATTAAAATGTATCAACCGATAAACTGGTAATGGGCGACTAGATATCCTCTCTCCTCCTTCCCTACCCGCCTCGACTCCATGATGTGTGTGACACTTATAGTTGCTTTGTATAATTTTTTAAATCCTATTCATGCCTAAAGTAATTTATAAACTCTAAACATTAGTTTAGTCATGAGATGAATTAAAAAAATTACACAACACATCTATGAGTGTCACACACACTACCGAGACAGGGCAGGTAGGAAGGGAGGAGCGAGGCTATCTACGCGCCCGTTAATTGACTCTGAGAGTGCTAACGGTCCAAACCTTGTGGCTGACTTCATGCACAATCCATGCAATTGCATTGCCATTGGTCACACTCATCACTTTTGTGGGATTCACGGCAGGTTTGGCAGTGAATTATGGGATTTGGTATCTAACTAGTTTAGTTTTAAGGATTTGTGCCAGATAATCCCTTGCTAAATATTCATAAAAATCTACATCTAAATGAAAAAAAACAACCCCAAAAAAAAAACTTAGGATAAAATATTTAAATCAAAGCATTTAGGAATGTTAAGGGGATATTTAATAAAACATTTTTATATAATCATATTTTACTTTACAGTATTTCCAGCCTCAAGCATTGTAATATGATGTAACATTTTTTATACAAGTTAGTTTATAAATTCCAGGCACCAATTTACAAAAATCACTGAAACTCTACCTACCCACAATCCTGCTCCTGTGATGTCAAAATGGAAGTTATGCTTCACCTGCTGGTACAAACACTTGTACGATACATGCGCAATGTGCATAGGCAACTTTACTCTTTTTTTTCCCACAGACTCACTCATAGCTATTTATGACATTTTCTGCTGTAGGCGCACTCATTGACCAAACTGCCGCTATATTCATCATAAAGCATGACTGATGCTATTGTATAAGTTAAAAGAAGCCTGTCTGATTTCTTTTAATGAATGAAACTTCTGCAAAGTGTTGAGCAGGAATTTATGAAAAATTATGAGTCAGTGGGAGAGCCAGGATTGTCTGATAAACTTCAGCCAATTCCTGGTTTCCATAGACGGTGCAGTTTTGTAAAACAAAACATGAAAATGTATTACGCTTGTTGAAGCTTTTTTTTATGATATCAGGATTGACGCACATGTGTATGGCGCTGTATATTCTATTGTAGCCTTTTATTACGTTCTACACACCTTAGCACCTTCCAGACTCACAGGACAATAGTCTCCTATGGCTACTTATTAGAATCTGCATCCTTCTGCTAAATCTATGCGTATGAACTTGTCTTTTTGTTAAGAGGCAATATCATGCACGTTGAGAGCTGCCTGCTGCTTCCTCCACTTGGCTCAATTGAGTGGTTGCTGTGTCTATTCTTTATTCTAGATTTTTGTTCAGTTGGTTATACATTTATTAACTGCCACATGAAATAATAGTTTGGTTCGTTATTACTATTCTCCAACTTGTACTCTGACTGTTTTCAGACTTTTCCACCTCCTTGTAGGTAGCTCCCATAAATCCAACCAATTCCATTTTTTCCCTGTAAATGTATTCCCTTTTTAGAACGTGATTTAAAATTATTTTTATACTTTATTACAAATTCCTGCATAGATCAAGGTAAGTAGTTTTAGGAATTGTTTTATAAATCCAATTTCAGTAAAATAATTATTTACTTAACAGTGAAATGTGGCAAATTGAAAACTAGATTGCAAAATTTAGATTAAAATAATAATCTGACCAATAATCTAATTGTGACTAGATTTTGCAATGTAATTGTGAGTTCACTGCAATTAATTTTTTAATGAAACAAAACCTTTAGGGGTCAATACACGAAGTGGCTAAGCTATGAAAAAGGGAAAGGCAAATTTTAAATCAAAGCAGCTGGGCTGGAAAAAGTTGGAGAATTTCAAAAATTTTCCTTTTTTGGCCATAATTTTAGAATTCTGTGATCAATTTCATGCAATTCTTCATTTAATGAACATACTCTTAGGGACTTATCATTTATAGAACAAACTACTTTGACGTGACATTAAAATTGTTGGTCAATTTTTATACATCAATGGTTTTGATTAAAATGATTAGATAGTCTATTAATCAAAACGAATTATTTAGTTAATAGACCTTATTTTATTCAAATTCGACACATGGTAGGTATACTGTAATATTTCGTTAATCCATGATCCCTTCAGTAATATCTAAACACGTTCCAGACATGTTACGTTGGACCAGACCAGACAGAAATTCGAATCAATCTTAATTAAACAAGTGAATGCGTGGGAAGTGGGTGAGGTTAATTAGTTCAATTCTTGTCCAGGAATCAAAAATTAGGAAAGCTTTCGATGACTGATGATATGGCATAGGTGTGAAAGAATGCAGGAGAGGTGCAGTATTTCATTATTTAACATGCACTCTTGTAATTTCTTAAAGGGACATTCAACTGCCAAAATAAATAAACACTGTTTAGTAGATATAACCCGAATTAAAACATGTATGCCTTTAATTATGCATTTTATATTACGTGTATATCTACAAATAGTTTGTAAAAGCTACTGGTACAGATCTCTTGTCTGCAGCTTTTGCAAGTCCTTCCCCTTCGAACCCTGTCCAGACTTTCTGTTGTTGCCCAATTACAGACTCCCCAATGCAACTCTATGAGAAGTCTTTGCAAGCAGGGGCTCTGGGCAATTTGCTGCCTCTTGTGTTTAGTTCCACTAGCACGTGTTAAGGACACAGTGACCAGTTGTCTCATTGACAGGCAGGGGAGTGTAATAAGGTCAATTTTTTAAAGTGCCAATATCTATTGAAATCTGCCCTTTTTGTAAAATGGAAAAAGCTGTAGTGCTTTAGGGGTATAAAGGGTCCCTTTAAGTCAACAGAGATAGTTTTCATCAGGCCCGGACTGGCCAACGGCATACCAGGCAAATGCCCTGTGGGCCGCGATGGCCATGGGCCGAGGTTGACAGGGGAGATCAGAGTATCTCCCCTGCCGGCCCATGCAGAGACAGCGCTATCAGAGCACTGGCCCTGCTGTGTGCCTTCATGGGCTGATGGGGAGACAAACTATCTCCCCACCGGCCCACAGACACTGAGATAGGGAGGGAGAACCCGGGAGAGCTCATACCTGCATCTCCGCTGGGTTCCTCTTGCGAGGCCAGAGCATTGCCACGGTTACTATGGTAGCGCTCCGAACTCGCAAGAGTGATCTCTACCCCAAGAACTGCAGGGTAGAGTTCACTCCTCACCAGACCACCAGGGATTTCCTAACAGACCACCAGCGCTGGCAACAAGGTAAAGGTAAGTAGGGAGGGGGGACATAAATATAATAATTTTAAAAATAATATTAAAAAATACACATATATATGTTTTTTATTTTTACCCCACAGCACCCCAAACATCACACTACACCCAAAACACCACACTGCACCCCTCACACACACACACTGCACCCCAAACACCACACTGCACCCCTCTCACATACACACACACACACACACACACCTCACCTCAAACATAACACTACATCCCAAACACCACACTGCACCCATCACACACACACATACTACACCCCAAACACCACACTGCACCCCAAACACCACAGAGCACCCCAAACACACAGTGCAACACACACACTGCACCCCACACCACGCAGCACTCCTCACATACAAACACACACACACAGCTACCCTCACACACAAACACACACACACACACACACACACACACACAGCACCCCTCACACACACTGCCCCCTAAACTCCACAGAGCACCCCAAACACACAGAGCACCCCAAACACACAGTGCACCCCAAACACCACACAGTAAATGGGCCACTGATAGGTCCCACTGAGCTAGCTAGTCTCGGTTCTGGTTCTAATGCCTGCATACCTAAGGTACTTACTATATCTCCTCTTTTGTAATAACAGTATACTTATTGTACGTACAATACCTCCTACTTTTATGTCCACATTCCTAATGTACTTACTGTATTTACCTTGTTCTGTGTGTATACCTACTGTACTTAGTGTATTCCTTTATTTCTAATGTTTGTAGGCCTACTGTGCATACTGTATCCACCCTGTTCTGTGTGTATACCTACTGTGCTTACTGCAGCTCCTTTATTCCAATGTCTGCATATCTACTGTATTTACGATACCCTACCTATTCTAATACCTGCATACCTAATGCATGTGCTTTATACTGTGTATTCTGTTGTTTGTATATGTTTTTCAAAAGCTCACTGGAACATACACAATAAATGCAGCAAATATTTAAGAGTCTCATTGATTCTTAAAGGAAACCTTGTGGCACCATAACAACTTAATATTAATTAAGTTGTTATGGTGCCTGGAGGTTCCAAGTACCCCTGCCAAAGACTTAATAATAAGAGAGCAGTGGAAGGTCAGGGGCAGCACTAAACAACACTGGATTCAAGACTTTGGGGTTAAACTGTTCATGAATAATTTAACCCCTAAAGGTTATTATAAATCACCATATGACATAAATGTATCTATATTAATATCTTGATTCTAAAAGGGATTCTGCAGGCTGGATGTAATAATTTTCGTATACATCAAGAATATACGCTATATATATATTAAATAAAATTTGTTGGGACTTGCTAGGCATTAAAAAATTTCCATGGTTTACAGGAATATCAGAGGATTCCGGGCAGGGTGTTTTGGAAGTGGTAGTTCGTGTGTCAGCTTCCCAGTGACCCTAGGATGGTACAAGTATGTGTATGAGCAGATGGAAACATTTGACAAAAAGAGGTTGCTAAGTTGTTTTTGTGAAAGAGCCTGTTAGTGGAAGTGGAAACTTTGTAGTGTGTGCGTGTGCATGCCATACAAGTACTTGTACAGACAGGAAGAAGCATACATTTCCTCCAGTGATGTCACCCAGTTAGGAGACAGGCTTATAGTAATGATTTTATTTCAAACTGATTCTGTTATAAGAGACAATGACACCACCTTGGGTAGGTGGGGTTTGTCAGTAGAGGGCATGCCAGTGATGATGTGGCCTTCCTGCATGGTGGGCAGACTGGGGGCTCCACTAACCAGTGCCACTAACAGTAGCCCATGTGCAGAGAGCTTCTATACCTTCACATGGGCTAAAAATTCTGCTTGCGCAGAGCAAGCACATCTAATCCTGCTCTTATTAAGTATTTGCCTCTGGTGTTCCCAGAAGCTAAAACTGTGGAACAGGGACCTACATTTGGTACGATCCTGGAGACTTAGGAACTGTTTATAAGTATGCTATGCAAAAGGCACCCTTGCAATTATAAATTATATTTTAATAATTATAATTTTAAAAATTATAATTTTAATAATATTCTTATTTATTTGAATGTAGTATTTTTTTTGGTGCGTTAAGTTCTGCCTTTTTGATAACAAGGCAGGTCTGATGAATCAGTGGGCAAGAACTGTGAGGAGTAAAATGTCTAAGTTCACACTGTTCCATCATTCTCTTGCTTTCACAGACTCTTTTGAACATCCCATTTATTTCGTGGTAAATAAATAAATAAAAACGTGACTTCAGTGTTAAGTGACAGAATGCTTGATCACTGAGTTGAACACACAGGCGGTTTGTTCTGAAATCTCGACAGAGAAAGGCCTCTTGTGCTATTTGGGTAGCTCAGTTACAGCCTGTGGATAGATCGATAGAGGATTTTGTGACCTGTTATCATCCACCCCCTCCTGCATCCCATCCCTCACTTGGCACAGAAGATAATAAGGCTTTAAATGTCTGTTAGATTTTTAACAAAGTGAAAAATTCTGCACTATTTGCCACTGGCGAGATACTAGTCTTTCCTGTGTCCAAAAATTTCCGCCAGGTAAAACCAGACTTTGAGATAAAAAGCCTGTTAGGTCTTATTCATTCTGGGTTTTAATGTTATGATATGGCAAGTGAATTACACAATGTCACTTGAAACAACTAAAATTATAAAATCTTTCTTTGCAGCTATTTTCCAATATAGCTAATTTTTCAGATTGTCTTTTCATCACAATTCACAATTTATTGAATAAACGCTTTGATGAAGTCACAACCATTAATGTTATTTACTAGACTGGAAATGAAAGCAGAATTGCCAATTAATACTTAAAGAACCAAAATGAAAAACCCACGAGATCAGCTATTTTTTTACAACATGGAAATTGCCTCAAATTAACGGCAAAATAGAATCTCTTGAAAATGAAACAAATATGCTACAAATACCCAGTGATAGGGTCATCGAGCTCAGAAATTACTTGAGAAGGAAGGCCTAAACAACTCCTGGATTAACATTAATAGTAATGGCACCTGGGCAAACTGTTTAAAACAAATAAAAATGAATTAAATGCTCTTCCCATTACTCCATATTAATCAGGAAAGGCTGGCCTAACCTACTCTCAGTGATATTGAATATTGTTCCACCTATTTTCGGTATTTTTTGTCAAACCCCACATGTATTGTTAGGAAACTGGATGGTCAATTTTGTAAAACCCGCCCCCCTGTTTTTTAAGGCACTACTACTTAGTTTTATTTATTTTGAAAATATTACCCTGTTTTTTAAGGCACTACTACTTAGTTTTATTTATTTTGAAAATATTACCTTTATTTTTTGTTATTCATTAAGATATTTCTAATGAGAACTGTAACTTATTTAGAAATTACACCGCTGAATAAATTATTGAAAATCACCTAAACTTATTAACCTTTTTCATGTAGTCCTCCAATTTCTTTTAAATGCATATTAAAAGATTTAGCAATAAACATCACAATCCAGTTCAGCCAAGGCACAACTAGGGCACACAATGCAAATGCAGAGAAAAAGAGAAACATTGTTTCTGGTTCCTTTCTTCCACTGACTATGTTTTGTGATAGAAAAGGGCAATATTTGTAATGATGACTTACAGAGAACCAAAATGGTGGTGCCCAGGTGAAGGATAGAGTTCAATGCTGCTGGCGGTTAGTGGCTGACATTCGTCTTCTAGATACAATGCAGGTTCGGCTACCGTTTGGCTGATTCTGTTACAACTGCTGTTAAGTTCAGCCACAGGGCAGAAATTGTGTAAAATCTGGCTGCAGGGAATGTTGTGATTCAATAGCAATTCAGTTAATGTTACAAAAGGGTTGGGGAAATTGATCTATATTATGTTCGACAGTTTGGACATGCATAAAAATTTGATACCCTAGGAGTTGAAATGTGCATGTCACCCAGCAGTGGCCCTATGTGGTATTCAGGCCTCTGTCGTATACACATACCACACACATACACATATACATCATACAAAAATATACACATATACACAGTACTATTTTACACTGAGTGCACTGTTCCAAGTTGAGAATGAATGATGGGACCTTGCAGAGCTGCACACTCTCTAGTCAAAAACATTTGGTGCTAGAAAGCTCCACTGAAGTCCTCAACCCCCACCCCAATGAAACATCTGCTATAAACCTTTTATCAGACACTAAAGATTGGACATTCCTGCATCCAATGAAATGGTCTTTGTTGGGTGGTTCTCTACTTCCAAAAAAATGGTTCAATTATTTATCTGGGCTTGGGTGTTAGGTACTCATATTTACTGTAATTTTCTGTTCCTATCTATTTTCCATGGCAGCATCAGTTTTCCCCACCTGTTGCTAAACTGGAGAACTTAGGGACAAGATGGACCTTTGGACCATCATTTAAAAACAACGAGAGACAACTAGATTACTTTATCTCAATGAAATTGTCTGGGTGCAGTGGTCCTTATTTTAACATTGCCGTTTAAGACGCATTGCCGTTTAATAGATACGCAGAGTTAAATACAACTCTAGTGGCTTTCTGTCTGACAGCAACTAGAGGCACTTCCACTGCATTGGCCGAGTCAAACTAGGTTTTCACAGCTAACCTACCATTTATTGGAAGGGTCCAGTGCTGGGCACGCATGCGCTTTTTGTCCTCAATGCATAGTGGAAGGCAGATTGAGTGGCTGTGGGGGATGTTCTCGGTGCTGGAAAAAATATAAGTAAAAGCCTTTTCTCCAATTTTTCATTTTAAATTTGTGTGTGTGTGGGGGTGGGGTGAACTGATAAAAATGCAGAGGAGAACAAAAGGAGAACACTATATCTTTAGGGATACACATAAAATACACTTTATTAAGACAGCAAAACAAAAAACACATTTTTATGTTTTGCTTTTTTAATAAAGTGTATTTTAAGTGATTCCTGCTCTCAGAGGTCCTGCATTGTTCTTTGCTTACATCATTCAAAAGGGGCAGTGCTCTCCTTATAAGCACATTCACTGGTATACAGAGAGCCTAATATAATTGAAGATTATGTGTACTGATAATCTTAATTTTAATAATGACAGGAGGCGAGTATTTTGCATTAACTTTCTTTACTATCTCCATAGCAGCAAAGAAAAAACAGTTGAAATAAAGAACCAATCAGAGCGAGTCAGAGTATTTATAAGTCTAAGCATATCCAATCACTTCCTCTTGACTAAAGTGACATCACAAGTCCATAATGTAACAAATAACATGTCCGATCCAACTTGAAAACCGATAATGGAATTGAGTCTTCCCAGCAATCCATAAGACTTGTTAAACTGAAAGAAAAGAGAGCCTAGTATCAGTGATACGGAACCGACCATATGAAATATATGTCTATGAGTATATATATAAACCCTTACAATGACTTAATCTGACTAACCATAAAATGTTATCATGCAGAGTCAATCCACAGTGTTAGAAACATCAGCAATCCATACCATTGTTCATACCAGTACATAGATTTAATCTTTAGAATTAGACTTGTACTCATTAACTCTAATTTACCTCAGTTTAGGGTGGGAACGTCAAGTCAAAAAAGGGGGGGAAAATACTCGCCTCCTGTCATTATTAAAATTAAGATTATTAGTACACTGATGGCAACACAAAAAGAGCCGGGTAGCCGCTAAGGTCCTGCAGAGGAGGATCGCAGACGGTGGCCTGGGCATCCCCAACCTATATCATTACTATAAGGCAGCGATTCTAAGCACCATGTTAGCTGCACATGACCCCCACTACACACCCCAGTGGGCAGGAATAGAATCCTTTTGGCTTAACATAGACCACATACGCCATACTTTCTGGACTGACAGCGCTCGGAGACCAAGACCGTTCCAAGGCCTCCCCACTACTCGGTTGCTGTTAGACACGTGGGACGGGGTAAGGAACACTTTGGTTACTTATCCAAAGATACCGTTGGCGACCCCAATGCAATCCATAAGCCTGATGATTCCTACCTTTAATCACAAGACATGGATAGATAAAGGCGTCACCCATGTACTACATCTGTACGATGGGGAGCACCTCAAATCCTTCCCTAGCTTACAGGAACAATTTGACCTACCCGCGAAACTCCTATTCCCCTACCTGCAAGTCAAGTCCCTTCTAAAACATAATCCACCCAGAAACCCTGAGAAGGTACCGCAAGAACTAACATCTAAGTTCGAAAACATGTGCCTTTCTAACAAGCCCAACGCCAAATCCCTCTCCTCATGCTACCACTTAATCTTACACAACCAACCACTGACTCAGGAAAACTACCGAAAGGCATGGCACACAGACCTAGGCATAGAGCTAAGCCCAGAACAGTGGAAAAAAGCTTACTCAGCACACAAAGGCCTGACATCATGTGCCCAACACCTAGAAATACAACGGAAACTACTATACCGTTGGTACTTAGTGCCAGAAAAAATACACAAAATATGGCCCACCTCCACAAACATATGCTGGCGCTGTGAGAAAGAAGTGGGCATGATGATCCACGTTTGGTGGACATGCCCCGCACTCGCACCTCTCTGGACACAAGCCATACATATCGTATCAGACATGCTAGGCTACCAAGTGGAAAAAAACCCTGTGCAATGCATGCTGTACGTATTCCCCGAAAGAATGCCCAAAGCTCACCAAGCATTACTGTACCATACACTAGCATCAGTACATATTCTAATAGCGAGACAGTGGAAATCCAAGGACATACCGTCACGTACACATTTAAGAAACCAAATCGCACTCAACTGGTCATATGAGGCCATGCACCAACACCAATTTGGCCCGAGGCCCGCATTAGCTAAGGCGCAACTCATATGGGATAGGTACCTAAACCAAACTGACAATACCACAACACAATGATTACCAGCGGACAAAGGCGAACTCCGTGGCGGGGGACTGGGGAGCCCTAGTCTGGGACCACGAAAGATCAAGATCCAAGAGACAGAAGAAACCTGCCGCCCACCAGCTCTCCATCGTGCAGGAATCCCTACCAAACCACCTGGGAACCCTAGGGTCATCCCTCCACGAACCCCCCCCGATGCACCTCCTTGCCACCCCTCCTTCTCTCTGTCTCCCCCCTATCTATACCCCCCTATAACTTTACTTTCTCTACAAAATATTTGAGACATGCAGTTGCAGGATTCATGTACCTAAAGTCGTTAAGTAATATTGGAAGGTTTACCCTGATGTTACCAAATCACCATACCATGTATGTAATCGCGATCAGGATATCCAAACTTCCAGCACAATTGTAATGCAGCTGCATGGCTAAATAAAAATTGTCAAATTCAAAAAAAAGATTATTAGTACACTGCGCTAGCATAATCTTCAATTTTACAACATGACAGAAGGCTTCATATTTAGCAATTTTAACGCTTAGGTAGAAAAGCGAACGCAGCGTTGGACGTCGGACAGAAATAGAATGTCCGAAACATCGATTTGCGGGACCAGTCCGCCGCTTGTAATATGTCTGACAGGGATAAGCCTGCCAGAAAAGTCGATGATGCCGCTGCCCCTCGCACGGAGTGCACGCGAAAAGATGGGTCTATACCAGCTAGGGAGAGGAGCCATCTGATCCATCTGGCCAGTGTAGTGACCGAAACCGGACTGTGAGGGTTAACATATGACACCAATAGCTGTCGGGCTGTCGGTGGGCGTAACGTCTCCCTTGCCGCCACATATGCCCGCAAAGCCTTGACCACACAAAGTTGGGGGTCCGAGGTGAAGAATGGATAGAAGACCGATGACGAGTTGGATTTAGTCCGCTGTGAAATATGGAATGTGACTCCTTACGGATCGATAGTAAAGGCGTCTTTATCGAACGCCCGAATGTCCGAGACTCGACGAAATGAAACCAGGCACAACAGGAAGGTGAACTTGGCCGTCAGTTGCCTTAAGGATAGTCCACATCCCATAGATGTTGGTATTTAGGTGCTGGAGGTCGTCTCAGTTTGATGCCCCATAGTAGTCGACAGATCAGAGGGTCCTGTCTGACCGCTCTTCCTTGGGACGGTACATGGGCTGCCGATATAGCGGATCTGATGACGTTGATGGTGTGATACGACTTACCTTCCTCGAAGATTGACGAGAGGAAATTCATGATATCGGAAACAGGGGCTGTAAAGGGATCCAGGTCCCATCCCATGCACCAACTGGTCCAAGATTGCCATGCAGATAAGTAGCTCTTTCGCGTTACAGGGGCCCAGGAGTCCCATAGTAGATCCTTAGTTGTTGTCGGTAAGTCGTTGGTACACCATGCTCCCCTGAGTCCAGGCTACCAAGGATAGGTGTCCGTCCAGTAGCATAGGATGTGGGTTCCCCACTGGATCCCTGAGTAGGGTGGAGTCGTTCGGCAGCAGAATTGGGTCCTCTCAGGAAAACTCAAGGAGGTCTGGGAACCTGGGTTGGCTCGGCCAAAGGGAGGGTTAACTTCACTACTCGTCTCCGGATGTGGTGGAGAACTCTCGCAATCATAACGAATGGGGGAAAGGCATAAGCCCCTTGTGTTGGCCAGTGTTGGGTGAAAGCGTCCACCGCCAAGCACTCTGGGTCTGGCAGCCAGCTGTAAAACTGTGGTAATTGATGATTGTTGTGTGAGGCAAACAGATCCAGTAGGAAGGGTCCTTTCCATTCATCTAGATAGGCGAATATCTGCGGGTTCAATTGCCAGTCGCTGACATCTCTCCAGTGTCGGGAGTGCCAATCTGCAGTAAGGTTCAACTCCCCTGGTAAATGTTCTGCACGTATCGTAATGTTGCATGGGAGGCAGTAGTTGAAGATTTCCTTCATCAAATTCACCAGTGTTTGTGAACGAGTCCCTCCCAAGTGGTTGATGTACCGTACTGCAGATATGTTGTCCATCTGTAGAAGTATACAATGCTAGGCTGCCTATAGCAAATGACCCAGGCAGGCAGTTGATATACAGCGCGAGTTCCTGGGATGTCCACGTTCCTCCCGTGGATGCTTCCCCATCCGTGGCGCCCCATCCCAGCCGGCTCACATCTGATTCCAGCACGAAGTCCGGGTGGTTGCCGAAGATGGCCCGACCATTGCATGATTGCATGCAGTTGAGCCACCATTCGAGTTCTTGGCGCACTTCATCCATCAGCGGAACTGGTTGCTTGTACGTGGGGTTCCATCAAAGGAAGTGGGCTTTCAACCATTGCATGGCACGGTAATACAGGAGGCATGGTAATATGGCTTGTATTGATGAGGAGAGTAGGCCAACGATCCGCGCCAGTTGTCGGAGCGGAATGGAGTTGAGCTTGAGTACTCTGCGGATCTCTGTCCTGATGGCCGTCACTTTGGTAGATGGGAGGTGGAGTGTGCAAGACCTGGAGTCTATCTCGAAGCCCAGGAATTGAATTTTTTGCATGGGGGTCATTGCGGACTTGGCCCTGTTGATGATGAACTTCAATAATTGTACCGTATAGTCGGTATGTTGTACGGCCAGTTCTCTCGTTCTGCAGAATAAGAGTATGTCGTCCAGATAAATGATACATCTGATCCCATGAGTTCTGAGTTGGGTTACCACTTGTTTCAACATTTTCGTGAAGCACCATGGTGTGGAGCTTAGCCCGAAAGGGAGGCAAGTGAATTGCCATGGGCAGCCGTGCCATAGGAACTGAAGGAAGGGACGGATGTCTTCGTGGATTGGGATCGACAGGTATGAGATCTAGGCGCGTAAACCAGTCCCCTTCTTGAAGGAGGTCCCTTAGTAAGTGTATGCCTTCCATTTTGAAGTGGCGGTAGGTCACGTGGGCGTTCAGATCTCTTAAATTTATCACAGTTCTGAAATCTGCGGTTTTCTTGCGGACGAGGAACATGTTGCTGAAGCCTCCTTGTTTGCGCGTGGGTTGTATAGCGCCCTTCATGCTTAGCTCACGGAGCTCCACTTCTATGAGTTGAGCATCCGAAGCTGAGAGGCATAAGGGACGAGGAGGGCACCTCTGTACGGGGAATGTTCGTAATTCGATGTGTACCGTCTGTAACACCCAAGCATCTGTGGATAGTTTTGCCCAATTCTGGGAAAAAAGGGGGAAACACGGCCGGCAGTCAGGGTTAGTTGAGACATTGATAAGTTTTGGTCTCTTACCTGTGGGGAATCTTGCGCAGGTACGTCTGCGACCACCCTATCCTCTGTCTGTGCCCCTTTGGTAGTAGGGATAGTGCTGTCTAGAGCCGGTGTCCTGGTTTGTTGCGGGTAAAACTGCTGTGGGTGTCCCATACGGGGGCCTGATGGCCAGAATCGGCTGGTGGCACGGCCCCGTTGCCGACCAGCCCTGGAAAAAACACCCCTTGAAGGGTTGCCTCTGAAGACCTTGCGCATGGATGTGTGCGGGATCTGTTCAGCGAGGTGAATACATTAACGTGCTTATTAAGCTCTTTCATAAAGGCCTCATCAAAAGGTTTACCCTGTGCCTGTTGGCCCAATTCTTTTACCCCCAGATCAGCCAGTTTGGGGTCTATGCGGAAGAGTGCTGCGCGGCGCAGCTCTGTTGAGTGGCCAGCATTGGTATTCCCTAGAAAGCAGAAACCCCACTGGGTCCATTCTTGGATATCATGTGCCCATTCACGCACCATGTCCGCAGTAAATGAGTCTGCTCTGGCGTAAGCTACATCCGCCAGGTACATCACACGGCCAGTGGCCCCATCGCGTCCAGGAGCTTTCTCCCCTTTAAAGCTTCTCTCGACCCCTCTGCGTGGGTCGCGACCCCCTCACTCCATAAAGGCCAGCATGAGTTGGTCGAACTCTGGCGTAAAGCCACCTTGTCTGTCAGGGATGGTCTGGAGCACTCCGCCCTCATTTGTTTGTGGATGTGTTTCTCCAGGGGCTTGCGGATCCAGAAGTGCATAAACCTGAGGAGGTGCTCAGACGGGGCCCATTCCCTGGAGCGGGGGTGCCGTATGTTCCTGGGGTCAAACATCCTCTGCCCTGTGGTGTCCAGGAATATCTCCTGTTCCTGTGTAGCAGCTGTAGCGGATGACACCGCATCTCCTTTACACTGGGGCTCACCCAGGAAGGTCTCCCTGACGTAGGCGTTGGAGCCCCAATCGCCTTCATCGGAGTCTGAGACCTCTGCCTGCCACTCATCCAGGATGGAGAGGGAGTGGGGTATATCTTTGTCCTCTTCCGAGGAAATCTACTGAGTGTATTTGGGGGCCATGGTCACAGGGCGCTTACTGTGCTTCAGCTGCACTTTTGTTGGTGGCCTTTTTGGACTCCTCGCCCTTCCAGTGGCGTTTCGTCGGGTGTTGTCTCTCCTTAGAGAAGTCATCTGACTCATCCGAGTCCTCCCTGGTATGGTAATGCTTCCTAACCAGCTTGTTAGTTTCAGAGGCCATCGCCTTCTCCAAGGATGCAGCTACCGCTGCGTTGATCATGGCCTGAAGGTCAATTGGGTTCTGTGTGTCCTCCATAATTCGGACACTAACAGGCACAGGTATGAGAGGTGAAGGGACCTTGTGGGAGGGACTTAGACAGGCCGTAGGCCGTATAATGTTTGTCACCCAGTGGCGTGAAAAAAACAGACTCTTTAATGCTGTGGTTCACCCAGGAAATCGGAACTGCTTTAACAGGTTCCGTTAGCACTCAGGGAATTACCCAAATGGGGGCTCCCCCCTTGCCAGACTACTAGGGTATACCTTAACTGGCAGTCCCACTCCCCAGGGGTAGTAACACCAACCTGCACAGGTCCCTGTGAGAAACTGGAATCACCTCTGGTAATTTGTCAGAAAAACCTTAAACAGGAGCCTTATCTTGATGAGTGTGATACTCCGCCGAAACTACACCAACAAAATGGTTGCCGCGGGTCTTGATGACAGGAAAAAGCCTGTGAAAATCGTTCGCGATAAATAGACCGTTCGTGCAAAACTAAACGAACGGGTGAGCCTGGCTGCTCTGTTCGCACAATTAAAGTGCGAACAGACGGGGAAGTCAGTCAAACGTCTGTTTGTGCCGCGATGCACGAACACAGTGACTGCCCGCTCTGTACGCACAGATTAAAGTGCAAACAGCGCAGGAAAGGAGAGTGAAAGTAGCAAACGTAGCCACCATAAGGATGGGGGGGGGGGAAAGGGGAAAATGCTGTTGCCTCAGAAGATGCTCTGAGGGGAGAGGGGGTAGCCCCTCCAACAGTTAACATCCCATTAGGTATAAAATACTTAAGGGATCCCCTGCCACCTCCAGGAAAGTAACATAAACACAATAAGATTAACTAGAAGATTATAACACATTGAATAATAGACAGTTAAGGAAATTAGTACTCTGACCTGACTTGTGATGGAGCAGCAAAGAAAGAGGAAGTGATTGGATATGCTTAGACATATATACTCTGACTCACTCTGATTGGTTCTTTATTTCAACTGTTTTTTTCTTTGCTGCTATGGAGTTAGTAAAGAAAGTTAATGTAAAATATGAAGCTTCCTGTCATGTTGTAAAATTGGCTCTCTAATAGGTGAGCAATCATTTGTTACCTGTATGTTGGTTTATATTAGAGATTTCTCTGAATCTGCACCAGAAGTTTTCCGTTTCTCTCTTTTTTTGTCTCCCCATTTTGAGGAACATTTGACTAAGGATAAAGAGAGGGTTTGGTATTACCTAATATACCTCCGTGCAAGTGATCTGAGCCTATCCATATGTGGTTTAGGACCATGTGAGTGTGGTCCATACTTTCTTTTAAGCACCCTGTGGGGCTCGATATACTTCACCATCTTTTTCCCCTGTAGGAAATTGTGTACAAGTTTACTCTGTCTCAGCGCTCCACTAAGTGTACTCTTTTGGTGGTTTGTTCCACCTGGGTTACCTGTTTGTCAATACTATTCTTGTGTAATTTTGGGGGTATTTACACCTTTGTAGAGCTGCTGCTTATCCATTTACGGTTTATTTGATAACCCACTAAGCACTTTTTACACACAGATCACTCTTTCTATATAGCTCATCATTAGACTGCTTGTGCTGTTAGGTGGCTTTTAGGGCACTGAGAACATGAGGGAGCTTTATAACAGCTCTCTGACAGGTGCTAAAAAGATCAGCCTTACACGCACACATGTCCCTTTTTTTTTAAGAAACTAACCCTCATCACAGCTTGGTCCACCTACCCCCTGGGTAATGTCCCTGCCCTGAGTTCATACCTCACAATGTTGCGAGGTCTGTTTACAGCTTTATTATTGGTGAAAAAAAGGAAACTTTGTTAATATGACTTCTATTGTAATATCACCTTAGCGAGCTTTAGGCTAGTAATTTACAGAAGTGTCTATTGTTATTATATCCTAAAATTAATAGAGTTCTTTCATAGCTTAATTAATTTTATACCTTGCTCGTTTTATAACTGTTTTATAACTACCTGTATCTGTTTTTTCCCTAGGGGTGTATCCTCGGTGCTAGCTCTGGGTGCTAGTATAATATGTAGAAAGATACCCGGACTCTCTCCTCGTCAGCGAACGATCTGTGAATCTCGTCCCGATGCCATGATAGCAATTGGTACAGGAGCCCGATTGGGGACAGAGGAGTGTCGCTATCAATTCCAGTACAGCAGATGGAACTGCAGCTCCTTGGGGGAACCGAGTCTCTTTGGAGCTGAGCTAAAAGTAGGTATGTGTGCTATGCCCGCACTGTAATAAATAAATATATATATATATATTTACGTCAATATATATATATTCACAAATACTGTCATACTACATCTACATGTCATAAGGCACATGAAAAAAAACAAAACACAACAGCCTAAAAGACGTTAGGATGGGTCATTATGTCCTGAATGGCAAGGGTTTTAACAGCATTCGGGGAGTACTGACTTGTGCTGACTTTGGTGCCTGTGAAGCCCCACTGAAACCCCCCCGACATATACTTACCTCGGCAGACCCGATGGCTGGGGGATGACTGACAACCAAGGCAGTCCCTGCTATCGGATCTGGTGAGGTAAGTGTCATTCGTGGGGTTTCAGGGGGGCTTCACTGGCACCCTTTGCAGCCAATTCTGCCGATCCTATCCAGGATCATCTGAATTGCAAGTTTGGCTGCAGGGGGACTGCCTGGGTTTCGAGGCAGATCCCCTAACATATAATGGATAAAACAAGCTAATGTTATATAAATAATGTATATACACACACTTAGAATTAAATTAAATTATATATATATGATTGGAATTGTTTGGCTGAGAATGTTATCCAAACAATGCTGTTCCGAATTTGGACAAAATTGATATCGCTAATGCCAAAGTATAACTTCAGTTTACTAAATTGTTATCGGATGTAGCCACCTCTTTATCAAAATTCGCTACATATAGTGTCTTGTTTAAATATAAAATTAAGGTTTCCCATATTGCATAGCTAGAACACATTGATACAATTAAAATGGATAGCTAATACCAATATTTGAAGAACTCAATATTTGGTGCACCCACTATTTGTTGGCTTGTTGCTTGGAATCATGATATATATGCACAGAGGTCCACCATGTGTGGAGTAACACTGACTGTTCTTATCAAAATTGTTCCCTTCAAGACTATTAGAGCTTTGTTGTCCTCCAACAAAGAACTGTGCTAAGGGTTCAGTTGCTTGGGGAGTCTGAGATCCTAGTCAGAGGGATAGCAAGGGCACCTGGACTGGTCATCTGGAAGTCCACAGTGAGACTGGACAGTTATTGTGGGTGCTAGAAGTTTTTGAGTTCAGTGTCTAGTAGCCTTAGTCTTTGGACACAACACATGAACTCCGGTTTTCTTTCTTGGGCACCCATGGACTAAACTAGACAAGGAATTTGATTCTATATATATATATATATGCCTTATATTTTTCTTATACACTCTTTGCTAGTTTCCTAGGCAACGGGGGTGGGAGGATGGGGGAGGCTATGCAAAGCTGAACATTTTCTATCTATAATGTTGGATCCTTATGGTCTATATACTATTCGTACTATCAGGGCCGGTGCAAGGATTTTTGGGTACACAGGCGAAGATGATTTTTGTCCCCCTCCCCCACTTTCCACCTCCACCCAAAAGCATCTTCACCTGTGTGCCTCTTAACCCGCCTTTTTGTGTGTCTTACTCCCCCAGCCCCTTTATGTATCTCCTTCTCTCCCAGCCCCTTTATGTCTATTACTCTTACCAGCTCTTTTGTGTGTTTCTCATTCACCACCAGCCCGCCTATCTCCACCCCCAGCCCCTCTGTGTTTCTTTTTCCTTTTCTCCAGCCCCTCTGTTTCTCTTTCACCCCAGCCCCTTTGTATTTCCACCCCAGGCCCTTCTATGGGTCACTTTCATCCCCAGCCCCTCTGTGAACTTTCTCACCCCCAGGCCCATCTGTCTGTCTTTCTCCCCCCTCATGTCCCTCTGTGTGTATTTCTCCCCACTCAGGCCCACCTGTGTGCCACTCTCCCCTCCATGTCCCTTAGTGTTCCTCTCTCCTCCCCTCCATGTCCATTAGTGTTCCTCTTCCTCACCCCTTACATGTCTCTTAGTGCCCCCTATTCCCCTTAATGTGTATTTCCCTTCTCTTTTAGTGGTCCCCCCTACCTTTGTGTTCCTTTTCCCTTCCCTCCCCTGTACCTTAGTGTCCCCCTTAATGTTCCTCTCTCACCCCCCTTTAGTGTTCTTTCCCCCTCCCCCATAGTGTTCTTTCCCCCCTCCCCCCTCATAGTGTTCTTCCCCATTCCATAGTGTTCTTTCCCCGTCACATAATGTTCTTTCCCCTCCTCCATACTGTTCTCCCTCCCCTGTCCCATAGTGTTTTTCCCTTCCCTGTCCCATAGTGTTTTTCCCCTTACCTGTCCCATCGCATTCTCCCCCCTGTCCCATAGTTTTCTTTCCCATCTCATATGTGTTCTTTCCACCCATCCCCATAGTGTTCTCTCCACTCCCTGTCCCATAATATTCTTCCCCTCACCCGTCCCATAGTGTTCCTTACCACCACCCCCTCATCCCATAGTGTTCCTTACCACCCCCTCATCCCATAGTGTTCCTTACCACCACCACCCTCCCCCCCATCCGATAGTGTTCTTTCGAACATAGTATTAAATTAGAAGAGCAAAGGTTTAAAAAAAATATCAGGAAGTATTACTTTACAGAGGGTAGTGGATGCATGGAATAGCCTTCAAGCTGAAGTGGTAGAGGTTAACACAGTGAGGGAGTTAAATTGTGCGTGGGATACGCAAAAAGCTATCCTACTTAGGCCAGGGACTAATGAAAGTATTTAGAAAATTGGGCAAACGGTTCTTATCGGTTGTCACATTCTATGTTTCTGTATTTGCTGGAGAGGTCCCCTGCTTATCCAGCTTTTTTAAAATCTTTTTTCTTTCCTTCAAATTAAAGACGCTAAAGACAAATCAGGATTTATCAATCTAGGATTAAGGGGACATGGTTAATTTCGCAATCTACTGCCTAGAGTTTGCTGATTTTTGCCAATTTCTTCATGTATATACTAAGTTTTTCCTAAACAGTTGCAGCTAATAGCTTATTTCACATCCTAAAGCTATTTATGTAACTTGATATGTCAACTGCATAAGATGTTCGATATACGCTTAAGTATGTCGATTTTTCTTTGGCTATCCTCTCGTATGTTGTGTGCATTGCTGTAAATCTTGCAATAAAGCTAAAACACCAAACACTGAATAAAAACCAAATAATAAAGAGGGAGTGCTAAAAATGGTGATGACACAGTCCACCACCACCATGTACGCTTAAACAATTACACATTTTGCCACATTACAAACACTGAAATGCCAATGGTGGTATGTTGTATCAACAGAGTGTATTTCAACACACTCACAATAAAAAGAACACTACCAGACAATGCAATTCTCGCATATTGCATAAAATTGATGATAAAATCAGCCAGCACCTCTCACCCAACGCGTTTCGTCCACGCCAGAAATTCTCAATGAAATGTCTTTTTCATCTTCTGCATGATGTAAAATGAAGAAAATAAAATATGCAGCGAGTTAATCTCATGCACAGCAAAATAATTAAAAATTGTTTTTAATTATGCTAATATAAAAAAAAAAATATATATATATATAAGGCAAAAAGCAACTAAATCCAAGCATGAAAAAAATAAGTTTAAAACTCCAGGCTTATAGCTGTAGGCTTCATACATGGAGAGGTTCCTACAAGTCAGGAGTTCTTACTACCTGTTGTTCACTTTTGGATGGTCTTAGAAGCTATGTACATATAGCTCTACTTAACGCATATACAGAGCTGAGGGACTGACTTGACCCCCTACCCCCCAAAAAAACCACATTTTATTAGAATCTCTTGTTTTTGTCATAGCTTGTGTTAAAAAAGTGCCCATAGAGCGTGCCACACTAAACCCCCCCACCCTCCCCGTACTCCTTTTTTTATAGGTAGTGGAATAAACCACATTCTGGTTCTGTCTGTTCTGTTTTCAGGAAGCCGGGAGACAGCTTTTTACTATGCCATACTGTCAGCTGGCATTGCCCATGCCATCACCAATGCCTGCAGCCAAGGCAACTTGACATACTGTGGCTGTGACCGAGAGAAGCACAGCTATCACGATCCCGAGAAGGGGTGGCGTTGGGGTGGGTGCTCTGCAGATGTGAAGCATGGGATCCGCTTGTCCAGAGAGTTTGTGGATGCCAGAGAAGTAAAACGCAACGCTCGCACTTTGATGAACCTGCACAACAACTTAGTTGGAAGAAAGGTAGGCACATCTTTACATATTGTCAAACTACCTGAGTAGCTTGGAAGTAAATGTATATGACTAATCATTTTATCATGCAATATCCTTGTCGGGTCAATAAGTCAGCCTGGAGACCCCACAAGGTCATCTGCAAGGTTATTCATTGAATTGGAAATTGCCAGGAATTCACAAAGGACTTTTAGGTGAAAATAGTCAAACAAAAAAAGAGAATAAAATTATTTTGCTATTTTTTCCAGCTTGGCCATTTTGGTCAAGAAATAATTTGAAATTCCTTAATCAGTTCCTGGCAATTCTCAATTTAGTAAATAACCATATAAGATTAAGTACCACAAAGCTTTGTTAAACTCTCTTAAAACCTGTAATGACAGGGATAGGCCTGCATATAACAGCCCAGGTTGGGAAATCAGACACAAATGTTTAATATAGATATATTTGATACATATATAAAGACATATTCAGTCAATCAGTAGCTACCATTCATAAAATAGGTATGTACTTTAAAAATATTTTTATTTTTTTTAATAAATGGGAGCTACAGTGTCATCTGACCGCTTTAGCCAATTAGTGGCGTCCCTGCCCGGCAGCACTGAATTTCAGAAGACTGATACCGCAGGGAGAATTGAAAATTGGGTGCTGGAGGCAACTTTTGGGGGTTAAACCTATTAAGAACGGTTTAACCCCTTCAGGTAAGAAATCACCCAGGGACCTCCTTCAGTTTCTTTTTTTGTTTTTATGATGCCCTGAGTTTTCCTTTAAATTACTAGAGCCGTTATATTTTAAACAAGTTTTATTTAGATTTAAAAAAAAAAAAAATCAGTTTAGGATCAATTTGTTTTAAGCCAATATTTTCTTATTATCTTTTTTAACTTTATAATTTGCACAATGAAAACCACTTATAAAACTCTTATAACTCTATTTTGTATTTTAAAAGTTATCACTTTAAATTTCAGCAACTTGGGCCTGAGCTTTATTTATTAATTCTCTTCGATATTCCTTCTGAAAGAAATTTAAAAAAAAAATTTAAATAAGATTGTTTTCAAATCATCTCTGCGTTAATCTTCATAGTGTAGAGACTTACATATCTAGTGCAAGGTCCCTAAAAAATTTTTTTTCACATCTTAAAGTCCATAGAGTAAACTCAGAATTTTTATCATACAATGTGCCTCCAGTCTATGAAGTAACTAACAGTAAATATACATAAACTACCTCAAGATAATCTAACCAGATAAATCTAACTAAAGGTTAAGTTTGAAAAATGACCGTCTCTATATTCCCCCCTTCACTTCACTCTCTACACATTGCAGTGACAAAATCAGACCCGCTAATTATTAAATTCAAACACTGTCTGACCCAAGATTCATGGCTGAATAATCCTATAATCCTAAACGTAGAGATGGGTTTTTCTTTTGCATATACTTCATTTAACAAAGAGTCTTTTTCATTACAATAATTGCTGAAAGGATCATTATATAAAAAAAAAAATAGTCTTGAGGTAATAGTTCGCTTTTAAAACAAATGAATATGTATTTAACTGATCAAACTTCAGACACCCAGTGGTCCTTTGTGGTACTGCAGGTCCCAAAAAAAGTTGTCTAGGTGAAAAATGTTTAAGCTCGTGAAGGTTTAGAAGGCTTTATCCAACCACTCTTTAGTCAGTCTGCCCTGATAGTCTATAGCAACGGTGTACAACTGTAGTACTTTAATTCTTGATATTAGTATCTTTTAATCACAAAGGTAAAATAGTGATTCTGTATGATAAAAAAATAAAACCAGATCCGAGGTAGGTGGGGAACAGAGGCGTGAGGGTAGGAAAATTTAAGGAGGTAGAAGAGTAAAGAAAGAGGTGAGTAATCATTGCAACAGAACTAGTCATTGGAAAACCCCTACAAGCTAGCACAATCACAGTTATCTGAACATCAGCGTTATAATACAGTCTTTAAACAATGACAGGAACATTGGAGCAAAGCAAGAATTGCTTTGTCTATTTTGGTCTGTATTTAATCTATTTCTGGATACTGGGTTACTGTAAGCTGGTTTGAATTCACCTGGAATTGTGAATTTAAAGGACAACTGTCACCTCAAAACTATTTTTAATCTAACAATCCTTTCAAGTTTTGAAAGAATATATATATTTTTTAATTAAACTATATGTGTAAAAACAATAAATAGCAAAACTCATCCCTATCTCTAGTATTACAGGATCCATCAGCCATATACGTGCACCTTGGGTCAGGCAGTGTTCAAAAACAGTCAGTTAGTCTCTATGGTCTTCCATTTTTCTGTGCAGGGAGTGAAGCTGGGAAGATCATAGAGACTAATTGTCCCTTTTCAAACACTGTCCGACTAAAAGTGCATGTATATGGCTGAAGGAGTATACAGTAATGGTAGGAATTCATTTTTCTCATTTTTGTACTTATACTTCATTTAACAACATCTATTTCCTTTGAAAACTTGATAAAAGGATTAAAATATAAAAAAAGTTTTGAGATTATAATCGTCCTTTAAGACACAAATAGTTGAGCAGGAACCATGGTTGACTTGGATAATTTTTCTAATTTTCACGTTAATGTTGAATTCCTGACAATTTCCAGTTTAGCTAATACCCTTGTGTAGGACTTTAACCATTGAGGTTTTTTTTACTATGGGTGAACTGATATCCACATTTAAAAATTTGGGCAAAATAGCCAAATGGTGACTATATATGAGTTTGAGAATGCTTCCAGTTCAGCACAGATGGGCTTTGAACAGCGTTTGTCAGAATATGTTGAGATTCATGTTAATTAATACTAGCTCCCACCAACCAGGTGGACATGTCACTTTGGAGGTATTTGCAAAAAATGGAACGATCCCACAAGTGATAGATCTGCTTAAAGGTACCAAAGTTTTTAGGTCCTGCTATCTGTGGTGTAACTCATCTTTGGTTTTGCTTCAATACCCTATCAAATTGCAACCTCCCCATACACAACTTGATTCACTACTAGAGGTAGATCTCATGGAGAGTTTGGTTACATAAATGTTTTTATGTTCATTTCAAAGGCAGAATGGACACATCGCAATGATACATTACAAACTAAAACCCACAGGCTCTAGTAGAGTAATGTCCTGTTTTTGTCTGTTGACTGCACTGTTTTGACTTCCTTTTCTCTTTCTCTCCAGTTGTTAGAGAAGAGCGTGCGACTGGAATGTAAGTGCCATGGAGTTTCGGGTTCGTGTACAATGAAAACCTGCTGGGTGACACTACCCCACTTTCGAGCTGTGGGAGACATGTTGATGGAGCGGTACGATCAATCTGTTATGGTCGAAGCTGTGAGGGGCAGGCGGCAACTCTTGCCCACGTTCCTTAAGCTCACTAACCCTCAGAGCTACACCAAACCTGCGGAGACCGACTTGGTATATATCGATAGATCCCCCAATTTCTGTGAGAAGGACAATATCACAGGTACCATGGGCACATATGGTCGCCTGTGTAACCGCACATCAACTATGTCTGACAGCTGTGAGCTCCTCTGCTGTGGACGAGGATACAAAACTCTTCAGTATACCCATACATGGCAGTGCCACTGCAAATTCCACTGGTGCTGCAATGTAATTTGCAGCACATGTAGCGAAAGGACGCAGGCTTATACCTGCAATTGATAGGGGGGGAAGGGCTCTTGATGCTGAATATGATGAAGGAAGGCCCCACCACGTGTAAACTGGGGAACTCAGTGAGCAGCGACTGCCTAGCAGAAAAAGGGCAAACGGAGTTGACCACGAAACTGCAAGCAGAGGAAGCAGACACGGATCCACGGACACTGGGCACATGCATGCAGCTGCAGCAAAAACAGAAGATGCATGCCGTGAACTTTTAAAAAACGCAGCAATTAGCTCCAGGAATAAAGTGGGCGAGTAATCGTTATTTTGTCTTTCATTCAGGAGTAAATTAATCTATGCTAATGAAAGAGTGAGTAAAGAGACCTAAGAGACAGGCAATGCTGAAATCACAATATGGGCCGGGGGACTAAACTTTTAGGAAACCAATTGTAATTTTATTTCTCCTGTTTTGTGGGTATGCACATTTTTTTTAAAATGAAATGCTATATAGAAAGTGTATATTTTACCATACAGCTATATCTATGTCAGTTTCTGTGCTTAATTGTTTTAGTTTATTGTTTGTTTTAGGATTGAGGGCTTTGCAGAGAGATTTACTAAGTAGTGATAATCTGGAGAGTTTTCTCCCAAAATGGGAAACCAGACAAAACTCCCTCCTCAATTTGTCTAGTTATCATATTGTCTTAGAGTGATGTTACTAAAAGTGTCTTTACGCAAATTAGTTTAAAACAAAAATCCCATAAGAGTTATCATTTATTTATTTTTTAATTACATTTTTTTAAATTTCTTTTTCATGAAAGCAAGTTACATTATGTAGCTGTAGTTACCAATTGAGATCTGAACTATCTGTAAAATGAAGAAAAGAAGGCTCTTCACACATAAAGCATATCACAGACTTTGATATTACACACTCCCTACATTAATGGGATCAAAGTTTGTGCAATGCTTTATGTATGAAGAGTGTCCCCTCTTTTTTTCATTTGACAGAAAGTGCCAATTTCAATAGAAAGTGGCTATTCCGTAAATTTAAATTGTTACAACCCCCACCCCCCCTTCCCAAGGGCGTCCGCAGGAATTTTTCCGGGGGGGGGGGGGGGGGGGGGCATAATTGTAATGACATCCATGCTTGGTACCTTTTTGACAGTGTCATGAAAGGGAAGGGGCATAGCCATTATCACATAAAGCCAGGGTGAATAGCGTTTTCACAACTATGGTGTCAGGAATGTATGTTTGTATTCCTGACACTATAGTGTTCCTTTAAGCAAATTAAAGGACCATTCTGGTCACCATAACAACTTCACCTAAATGAAAATGCTATGATGCCAGGAAGCCCCTGGGTGCTCGCTTTCCTTTAAGGGGTTAAATCGCTCTCAAATGGTTTAACCCCAAAGGCTTCCTCCAGCTCCAGGTCGCTCAGTGGTATTTGGCTTCTGAAACAGAGTGTCAGGAAGTGCAGATTGATGTCAGGCATGGGTGCCGCTGATTGGCTAGAGTGGACAGTTGACGCTCTAAGCCAATCGCTAGTTCCCGGTTCATAAAATATTTTAACTTTTTTATGAATGGGGAGCTACTGATTGGCTTAGAGTGCCAGCTGACCACTCTAGCCAATCAGCAACACCCCTACCCAACAGCACTCTGTGCTTCCTGACACTCAGTAAATAAAAGTGAACACATTAATACTGAGATTTTTTTACCTTTGGAGATGAGAAGGTCCAGCATTTCCCTGCCTGGCCCAGGTACCAAAGCCTTATGATGTGGTGTCCAGAATAAAGTGGAGGGGTCACTTCATTTGTCCTTCATGCTCCAATCTCCTTTTCCTCTCCTTCATTTGACAGTCTTTTTTTTTTTCTTCTGACACTGTTTTCTATCCTTGACCCCTTCTGCTATTTTACCTTTCTGCTACTTTCTGCTTATTTTGCGCCCTTCTGCTCCTTTCTCATTCTGATCCCTTCCTGCTCCCTGCAGACCCTGTGTGCTCCCTTTTCTACTTTACCTTTGTGCTCCTTGCTGTCCCTATCTCCTACTTTATCTTTGTGCTCCTTCTGTCTCTTTCTGCTCCTTTACCTTTCTGCTCCTTGCTGTCCCTTTCTGCTCCTTGCTGCCCCTTCCTGCTCCTTGCAGGCCCTTCCTGCTCATTCTCCTACTTTACCTTTGTGCTCCTTCTGCCCCTTCCAGCTCATTTCTGACCCTTTCTGCTCCTTCTACTTTACCTTTGTGCTGCTTTACAGTCCAGCTCCTTGCTGACCCTTCCTGTTCATTTCTGTTCCTTTGTGCTCCTTCTCCTACTTTACCTTTTGTGCTCCTTGCTGTCCCTTCCAGCTCCTTGCTGCCCCTTTCTGCTCCTTGATGTCCCTTCCTACTCACTTCTGTTCCTTCTCCTTTTCTTACCTTCCTGCTCCTCGCTGACTCTTTATGTAGGCTTTCTCCCCCATCCCTCACTTCCATAGGCGTGCGCACGGGATGTGTCGGGTGTGCCTGGGCACACCCTATTCCCCGCGGCACGCCAATGGAGTGAGACCGGCAGGGGAGATCTCTGGATCTCCCCGGTCGGCTCATGCAGAGCCGACACTATCCGAGCGGCGGCTCTGGTCTAAGCCTCCATGGGCCGGTGGGGAGATCAAAGTTCTACCTCACCGGTCCACAGCAGCATGGAGGGAGGCAGCAGAGAACCCGGGCTAGAGTTCACTCTCCACTGAAAACACCAGCGAAGGCAGCAGGACTGGGATATTAACTAATCTGCCCCCACCTCCACCCAAACATACAGCACACACATACAGCACACACAGCCCACAAACAGCACCCACACACACAGCACCTACACACATACATTACCCTCGCACACACAGCACCCACACACATACAACCCCCACACACACCCAGCACACTAACAGCATCCTCACAAACACACAAAACCCACACACAACACCCGCACAGCACCCACACACAAACAGCACACTCTTATACAAATAGCACCTTGACAAACACACAACACCCGCACACAAACAGCACACTAACAGGACCCGAACAAACACGCACACACAAACACCCTCTCTCACACACACACACAGCACCCTCACACACAGCAGTGTGTGTGTATATATATATATATAAACACACACACACACACGGCGTGTGTTTGTGCTTTAGGGTGCACACCCTAATGCAATAGGCTGCGCACGCCTATGCTCACTCCCCAAATCTATAGGCTGCTGCCCCCCCCCCCAAATCTATAGGCTATCTCCTCCCCCCATGCCTCACTTACCTGATCTGTAGGCTGTCTCTGGCTGCATGTGTTGCTCCCCTGCGGTTTCAATCAGTAGAGAGAAGCAGGGATAAGATGCAGCTTCCTATCCCTGTCTCTCTCCATACACAGCGCCACCTACTGGCCGGCGCCGGTATTGCAGTTCATTTTAAATCGAAAAATAGCAGAACAAGCTGAAAAATCCAGGGGGGGGGGCAAGTGCCCCCCCTTGGCCCCCCCTGCGGACGCCCATGCCCCTTCCTCGACTGTCAATCAGACTTGTTACTTCCTGGTAGTTTAGTTCAGTGGAGCTAAACTCAAGAGGCAGATAATTGTTTGCAAAGACTTCTCATTGAGCTGTCATGGGAAGTCTGTGATTGGTCAGTTATAGAAAATCTGGGCTGGGTTAGAAAGCAAGAGCTTCCAAAGGCTTCAGACAAGAGATCTTTTTTTAAATATACTCCCAATGTTTTTTAAAATAATTTCTGGCCAAATTTAAATTATATACAGGATATACATTAAAAAATAAAAAAAATTTAAAATCTGAAGGCAATCTAAAATCTAATCTCAAGGTTCTTGTCTCAAGTAAAGTTTATAAGGATTTGTTAACCAAGTCATGTATATTCACTAAACTTTAAATTTTTGGCAATACACCAGGGAATTTCAAACTTTAGAACAAAATGATGTTGGCCTAACAATTACAGTTAAAGGAACACTCCTGGCACCATAACAACTTGTTATGAAGTGGTTATGGTGGCAGGAGGTCTCTGAAGCCAGGTAACGTTTAGGGGTTAAACCGTTTATGGTCAGACGAGGACCAAGCCAGACCAAAATGGCGGCGCACGCGAGGGACAAGTTGAGGTAAGTAAACTGACCATTATCTGCCCCATTCAGCCACCAGACCCAAGCATTAAGGACACTGTCAGGGGACTTTGCGAATTCGGCATTACCCAAACAGTAACAATGCCTCTTTAATATGATGACTCCACGACTAAACTCTCCATAATATAACTACTTGGAGTAAGTCTCAAACATTAAACATAAAATGTTCATCTAAATAGGATATATTATGCTGTTTGCAAACTAAAAAACTTATCAGGTATTTAAGAAATGTTCGATTTTTATTTTCCTGCTATTTTGATATTCGAGTTTACTCAGATCTGTCCAATCAGATCTACTCATTAAATGTTAAATAAGTCATGAACAAACACTAAAGGATATGACATTGACCTTTAATAAGAAAACAAATTGCTTAATTTTCTTTATGTAACAATGTGTAAAACGGTATGCACAAAGTATTAATATTATTTTTGTCTAACCTGGTCGTAGTATGTTTACCTGGAATTGTAACACGTTTTCAATGTGGATGTTGCAATTTGGAATTACATAATATTTTATCAAACCTGCTGTGACAGATATTGATCAATAAAATGGCTGCTGAGAGCATGTGATGACAGCAGCCAATCAGAGTCTGTAATTTGTTGAGTAAATCTCAACTTTACATTAATAGTAACCTGTTACTTGATAGGACTGTACAAAGAAAGTAAGGTCATCAATTTAGACATGAAGAAAATCTTGCATGTCGGAGGTGAACCTGGCCGCAGGAGGAAACTATAGTGATAGGAACACAGCTTTGGATTCCAAGCACTATAGTATCCCTTTAATATTGAATGCGGCCCAGACAATGTTCCCTGTAGGAAATTCTGCTCTGAACAGGGTAAGAAATTAATCTTTGCAATCATTCATTTTGGTTTGAGAATGTTTTTTTTTTAAAAAACTTGTTCTCATTAATGCCAGGTTTGTTACAATCACCTTGAAACAGTTTCAAACTGAACTGCTCTTAGTTGGAACATTGCTCCTGAAGGTCCTTCCTAGTTCACTGTTTTCTGTAATAAAGTTACAGTTTCCAAACTTTGCAATCAATTGCCAGAAGGCAGGAGAAAACTCATTCCATGGGGAAGTATTAAATAACGTGATACTTAATAATAAAGCTGCAATATTTAAGTAAATTACCCCAGGCATGTACTACTCATAAATACCGCCTGCAGAGGGGAAAATCATTATTACTAGCATAGATTTTTGCTGAGAAAAGCAAAGAATAGAATTAATAAGAAGCAGCGTCAGACTACAGTATTGGGAAAGATGTTTTCAGTCTCTTTCGGCGTAAAAGACACCGTTCAAAAACTTAAAGTGGCTATTGAAGTGCTTTTACATGTTATTCAGAAAACTACAAAAGAAAGTACACACCTCAATGAAGAAGCCTAACTTTGGGGTTACACTGTTCATAAATGGTAAGTAAGACAGCACCCAAGACCTCTAGGCACCATAACAAGTTAAACGAGGTGAGGTTGTTATGGTGTTTAGAGTGCTCTTTTACACATACTGCAGGGTAGCACTTTTCATGTGTTACCCATCAGCAAGAAGGTCATGATTATATCTATATAGCTCTACCCATATTGGTTTGTCAAACTGGACTAGTAATACTTTTTAGATATTGTATGATGTACACATGAATTGATGGAACCGTGACATGAAATTTATCATTCTACATTTCTTTTCAAAGATTGTACATTTGGGAAAGGAGGGCTTGCAGAGCCTGCAAGTCATAGGAACTGCATCTTTTACAAACCGTTTTAAGATATACTCCCAGGGAACACCTGCATGAAATTACTAAACACCTCAGTGTAGTGGTTATGGTACAAATTGTCATAATTTGCCTTACAGTAAGACCATAAAATGGCCTAGAATAGCTTCCCCTTTAAAGCAAGGCTGGCCTGCATGGGGACTCATGTTATTCTTGTACTACAAGTCCCATGAGGCTCACACATCAAAAGAAAATGGAACAACTTTATAGTTTTAGTGGAATAAAACCGTGGAGCCAATGCTGGCAAGCCAGTTCTTAGAACCGTAGCAATAATTATTTGTTAAAACATGGATTTATACAGTTGATTTTGGCTCGTGTTAAAACCAACACTTTGCGGTTTTGCATACAAAGGCCCTTTCTTAACCCTTTCAGTGCTGAACTATGAACCTTAGTTTAAAGCACTGATTACACTCCTTAAAATAAATGAGTTTTGACTTCTTGGCCCTGGTTATCCCTATTTCTATTTCATACTGGGATGGTGAGCCTGGGTGACGCCTATTGAGTGTTAATCCCTCGGGGGGCACTCGTTACACCTGGGCGGTGATGTCAGCACCTGTTCGTATTCCAGTAGCACTGGGAGATGTAGGGGGGAGAAATATTGGAGAAGCAGGGAGCTGGCTTGTCATTCACACATACACTGAGCTGATGATGAGCAAGTCTGGACAGACTGCACTTTCAAGAGCCAAGGAGCAAAAACAAGATGGGGCGTCTGCCTCCCTGTGCACCCCGAGGGAAAGAGCACAGACACAGTACACCGCCCATCTACGCATGAATCAATGAGGCCAAGTTATCGTGTTCTGTGCTCGGCTTGGTCCTGCCAAAGTGAACTTACACTAGTTGGGCAGGTGGGCTAGTGTGATGCTCACAGATAGCAGATCCATGACCAAGGTTTTACAGATTTAATATATTCTCCTGGTTGCCAATTCCTCCTACATGCTGAAAGGCAGCACGTGTAAGAAAAACAGCCAGGTGTATGCAGGGTTCTTATGCTGCAGCTGGGAAATCAATTAACTCATAAAGACGGTTGCAGTCATGTGCATTGTAGTGTACCACCGAGCTCCACAGCTACCAAACAAAAAGCAAAGTAAAGTTTGCCACTATTACAGGGTTTCATGGTAGTAAACCTCACAATTGCTGGTGATTTTTCGTTGGTGTCTCCATAAGTGGGATATCAGTGGACAAAAGTGGGCCAGGGGTAGGAAACAATATTGTGATTGCATTTGGTGGATGCTTGTGGGAGGAGGCAGTTTGTGGTGTAGTGTGTGTAAATAGATCTTTGTAGATCTTGTAGCTTGTAGTGTAGTATGTGTGGCTTGGGGCTAGAGAGAGTGAGTGTATAGAGGCTGTAGTGTTTATATGGGTAGAAGTGCATGTGTAGTGTGTGTAGGAGATGCAGTGTGTGCATAGCATGTTTTTGTATAGTGTATGTATGTGCATGTATAGTGTATATGTGTGCACAACCACCAGTGCGTCAAGCGCAGCTGGACTGAGGCCCGCACACTGGGGAGGCCCATCAGTAGGCCCATGCTCTAGGGGCCACCTGATGGGTATTGCTAAACAGGGGCCCGTTCGGGTGCCTCTGCCTTTTAACAGTGCGACTGGGCCCCTTTCAAAATGGCAGAGCCCAAGCAAGAGGTTGGGAGGGGAGACAGTAGCAAGGAGAGAGCTGCTTCAGACCTCACAGTTCCATTCATCTCAGTCAGTAGGAAAACCCCAAACATGCCACGCTCCTGCACACAAAAGGTATGCTAAGAGGAGGGTGGCTGGAAATATAAAACATATGACATGTATGTGTGTGTCAGTTTCTGTGTGTATCTGTGTGTCAGTGTGTGCATATGGCAGTTTGTGTATCTGTGCGTCAGTGCGTATGTGTCAGTGTGTGTATCAGAGTCTGTGTGTATGTTTCAGTGTGTGTATCTATGTATGTCAGTCTGTGAAACTTTGTGTTAGTGTGTGTATATCTGTGTCTCACGGTGTGTGCATGTGTCAGTGTGTATATCTGTGTCTCAAGGTGTGTGTATCAGTGTATGTCAGTGTGTGCAACTGTGTGTCAGTGTGTGATTTTATGTGACAGTGTGTGTATCTGTGTATAAGGGGGTGTGTATGTGTCAGTGTGTGTATCTATGTCTCAAGGTGTGTGTATGTGTCAGTGTGTGCAACTGTGTGTCAGTGTGTCAGAGTGTGATTGTATGTGACAGTGTGTGTATCTGTGTATCAGGGTGTGTGTCTATATGTTTGAATGTGTGTGTGCCTGTGTGTGTTAATGTGTATGTATATCTGTATAAGTATATATGTAGTGTGTGTGTGGGGGGGGGGCTGGGGTGTGTGTGTAATATGGGAGGTGCAGGGTGTGTGTATGGGGTGCAGTGTGTGAGGGGTGCAATATGTGTATGGGGGACAGTGTATGTACTGGGGCTGTGTGTGTGTGGTGAAGTGTGTGTATGGGGGTGCAGTGTGTGTGTGTGCATGGGGGTGCAGTGTGTGAGGGGTGCAATATGTGTATGGGGACAGTGTGTGTATTGGGGCAGTGTATGTGTGTGTGGTGAAGTGTGTGTATGGGGGATGTAATGTGTGTGTGTGTGGGGGGTGCAGTGTGTGAGGGGTGCAATATGTGTATGGGGGACAGTGTGTGTGTGTGGTGAAGTGTGTGTATGGGGGTTGTGTGTGTGTGTTTGTATGGGGGTGCAGGGTGTGTGTATGGGGTGCAGTGTGTGTGTGTGAGAGGGGTGCAATATGTGTATGGGGACAGTGTGTGTATTGGGGGCAGTGTGTGTGTGTGGATTGGGGTGCAGTGTGTGTGTAAGGTGTAAGGTTGCAAATGTGTATGTATGGGGGCTTATGGGGGTAGTGTGTGTGTATGGGGGTGTAGTGTGTGTGTTTGGGGGCCAGGTGTGTGTTTGGGGGGCAGTGTGTGTGTTTGGGGGAGCCAGTATGTGTGTTTGGGGGCAGTGTGTGTGTGTGGGGGAAGTGTGTGTGCATGTGAGAGTGCAGTGTGTGTGTATGGAGTTGTGTGTATGGGGGAGCAGTGTGTGTATGGGGTGTAGTGTGTGTATTGGGGCAGTGTGTGTGTGTATGGGGGAGCAGTGTTTGTATGGGGGTGTAGTGTGTGTATGGGTGGCGGTGTGTGTATTGGGGCAATGTGTATGTGTGTGTATGTATGTATGGGGGTGCAGTGTGTATAGGTGTAAGGGGTGCAATGTGTGTATGGGGAGCAGTGTGTGTATGGGGGTGTAGTGTGTGTATGGGTGGCAGTGTGTGTATTGGGGCAGTGTGTGTGTGTGTATAGGGGTGCAGTGTGTGTAGGTGTAAGGGGTGCAATGTGTGTTTGGGGGAGCAGTGTATGTATGGGGGTGTAGTGTGTGTGTGGGTGGCAGTGTGTATATTAGGGGCAGTGTGTTTGTGTGGTGCAGTGTGTGACAGTGTAGTTATTGTTTCTGTGAGGGGGCAGATTAAATATAATATATATATTTTTTATTATTGAAATTAATATAGTTAATGTCCCCCCTCACTTTTTACCTGTGGCCTGGGAGGGGGGACATTGCTTCCATTCCCTGGTGGTCCTAGTGGTGAAGCCCTGGTGGTCCTAGTGGTGAGAGTGAACTCTAGCCTGCAGCTAAGGCTAGAGTTAACTCTTGTGAGAACGGAGCATTGCCATAGTAACCGCGTCATTCTATCTATCTATCTGTCTATCTTCAGCACCAATTTAATTAACTATGCTGAAAATTGAAAGACAGACAGACAGACAGAGACAGACAGACAGATAGCTAGATAGATAAATAGATAGATAGATAGATATTTATTTTCAGCATAATTCATTAAATTGGCACCGGACATCAATTAATAAATTACACTAAAATGCATAATGATGCCCATCTATTTTTAAAAAATTTTTTTTTTACTTGTATTTGTGTTGCCCATACTCTGAACTCATATCCTCACTCTCCTCATTGATTGGCTGACTCCGTATACCAGAACGTCTTGCAGGGAAGTCTGGCAAAACGCCAGCACATGGGCCAGCGACACACCCAAGCTACAGGGACACAGCGTGAGGGAAACATGGATGGTCAGGGGAGGTGATGTAGCAAACTTATGATTCACATACCAAGAGAGGTCTTTGCGTGTCAAATGGGGCACACATACCACAGGTTCACCATCGCTGCCCTA